AGTTACATGAACTTCCCGAAATGTGTAAATAATCAACTTAATCAAAAAAAAAATGTGTAAATAATATACTTCATTAATCCTACTTTAAAAAAAAACGATAATAATTTTAGCAAACTTTGACGAATTTTTAAAATTAAACTACTTGTCGTTAGGCCGTAATATTACAGTAGTTCTATAGACCATGATGTATATCGCCAAAAAATTTCCATGAAAATCGGCTTAAATTTTTTTCAACAGTTAATTACAAGAAAACGGCTCGGTAGATTTTCACCTAAAATTAATCAGTACCATTCCCAACTAATATCTTTCGAACAATTTTTGATTTTTTGAAATCGGTTCGGTAGGATGAGTAAATGTCGACGAAAATTTAACACTTTTTTCAAACAGTTAATTACAAGAAACAGCTCGGTAGATTTTTACCTAAATTAATCAGTATCATTCCCAACTATATCTTTCGAACAGTTTTTGATATTTTAAAATCGGTTCGGTAGGATGAGCTTAAATGTCGACGAAAATTTTAACACTTTTTTTCAACAGTTAATTACAAGAAACGGCTCGGTAGATTTTCACCTAAAATTAATCAGCACATTCCCAACTAATATCTTTCGAACCGTTTTGATTTTTAAAATCGTTCGGTAGGATGAGCTTAAATGTGGACGAAAAGTTTTTTTCAAATTACAAAGAACGGCTTGGCAGATCGTTGCACAAAACTGACAAACGATAGTCCTCACCGAAATACATCAAATGGCTTTTAAATTTCTAGAATCGGTTCAGGGTTTTGAGAAAACGTCGATCAAAAGTCTAATTTTGACAAATGCCAAAAAGACCATATGATTTTTGCAACTTGACGAATTTTTAAAGCTAAACGAGTTGTCGTAGGGCCGTAATATTTTAGTATGACCTAGAAAACTATGGTATCTATCGTCAAAAAAAATCATAAAATCGTCGAATTTTTTTTTTTAAAACTTTATTACAAGAAAACGGCCCGGCCGATCTCTACAAAAACTAATCAGCACGATTCCCAACCAATATTCTTCGAACGGTTTTTGAATTTTCAAAATCGATTCAGAATTGCGGGCTAAAACGTAGACGAAAAATTTTTCACTTTTCTGCCATTTATGAAGAAACGGCTTGGCCGATCGTCGCAACAAAACTGACAAACAATAGTCTCGTCGAGATACATCGAATGGCTTTAAAATTTTTTGAAATCGATCCAGCCGTTTTCGAGAAAACGTCGATTTACGGCCAAAAAATCTGTTCACATACACCACACACACACACACACACCACACACACCACACACAACACACACACACACACACATACTTTTTCCAAATTTGGTCTCATTCGATTCAGAATGGCTTGAAACGTCGAGAAAACATAAAATTAGCGAATCGGGTTTTTTCGATGAAAACATAAACTTCTCCTTCGGGAAGTTAAAAATGTTAAGCTCACCTATTTAATATAAAAATATGGCTCCCCCGATCGGCGGAAAAACTAATCAACGCACTTCCTTCTCAGAAATTGAACCTTCTTTATAGAATAGCTTTAAAATATTGAAATACGTGCTGCCGTGTTTGAGGAACATTGACCAAAGAGCAAATTTTGGATAATATACATATTATTTACACTTTTTCCTATAGGTTTCAAACGTTTCAAGTGACTAGGAAAATAGAGAAAACATAAAGCTGGCAAATCCGATCAGATTTTAATGAATCTAAAGACCTATATCATGGCATCGTGCTTAAGGCAAATTGCTGGAACTTCCCGTACCGTAATTAAAAACCTTGGTACGGAACCAAAAAAAATTTACACAAAATGTGTACACATTATTAAAATCTCTAATAATATCTAATAATTTGATGTACATATGTCCAATAAACATTTTGACCGCCAAATGACATTTTTTTAATATATTTTATTGAGAGTCCATAACCGCTGGACCTGACTTCCCAAAAATTTAATCAGTTGTTCATCTTGTCGATACAAGAAAAATGATTTTTGAATTATAAAATCGGACGCTCCGTTCTCTTAAAAACTGAGTTACCGTTTTCGGCATTTTTTGTCCCGTGTCTTCGGAACGGCTAGATCTGCCTTCGCCAAAAACGTGACCGTCAGAATGATATTTGAGTATGTTTTTTATATTATTTATACATATGTTAAATCTTTATAGACACATATCTGTGATAACTTACACCTAAAACAAGAAATACTAATAATATATAAAATTTAGACTGCAAAATTTTGCAACTAATCTGAAAACATGTAATGAATGTACTTGTTACGCCCTTCAGTAGGCAAGTTTAACTTGCACTTCATATTATCAAATATTTAGGACTTTATGTAGACACTATAGGAGAATTAATAAAAACATAAAAATTTTCCTGATTTATTATTTATTCAATCTAAATCTATTCTGAACGGTATTTTAGTTATGAAAAGGAAATTTAAAATCCAATTACGTGCAAGATAGGTATCATTTTGCGACATAGTTAAGATAATGATCATTCATTAAATTTTAGCTTGATTCCGTTAGACTTACATTCCAATACGATTTACTACAATCTTGTATTATATAGATAACTATTAAGATGAAATAAAAATTCTAGACGAATAGTATTCAAATTTGTATAATAATCACATTGAATTAAAGAAAACTTGGCTGTTCGTTTTCAGTCATTTTATTTCACGTGGTATAAATGTAAATTAATTCTTAGAATATATTACATACGACCAAACACAATATTAATATTCAAATTTAATACTTATTACACAATAAGTAAGAAGAGGAGTAAAGGATTGTGAAAATTAAGTACAGCTGATTTTACAATCTTGTGTTGTTTTTTATAATATTATGAACAAATGTTTTTAATTTTGATTTTGGATTAATTTGAGTAATTATTCTGATCTAAAAGTCAGATTTTGAAATTAAATTATTAATTATGAAGTTGATTCCGTAAGTCATCGACTATCGCGCGATTCTAGCAAAACTAGTTTCAATGCAAAGCTGTTGTTTATCCAACCAAACGAGAAAGAAATTTACATGTAATTAATTCACTGAGCGAGGCAATTCTTAATATCAAAATGTACAAAAGCATATTAATTTTTCTGATGAAACTACATAGCAACTAAATCAATATTTTAGATGGTTTTAATTTATTTCAAAATATCCTCGTAACCTAATATGGACATATATTATATTATATGATTGATGTGACTCATATATTACAATCCTTTGATTCATTTTTAAAAATTACGCTAATTACACAAACGACATTACAAAAATCAGTTAAAAAGGCTGTACATATCAATGAATCAACATATGGCTAATAAGAGTTAATACAGTTCAGCATATTATTCTTATTGATGATAAATATAAAAAAAAATAAACTAATTCACGTTAATAATCTCATTTTGTAATTAAGAATTTACATAGCACAAAAAATAAATCCTAATTAAAAATTTTCAGCTTTCTTTGCATCGAGTAGAAACCTAAGGGTGCATTACTATAAATAACAATGGAAAAGTTTCGGAGTTGTATCTAAAATTGAAGCAAAAAGTCTGTTTAATAGTTCGAGTCTTTCGGATTAGTTCGGATATATCCATAGTGTGTTAAATTTATGGACCGATTCTGCCGATAACTGACAAATGTTATGGCAAGGCCATGTTATGAAGAACTTTCCACACTAAATTGACAAAAGCCATGTGATTGCTTTGCAGTCAGACGAATTTCCCAGGTTATTAGATAGAAAACCTAACCTAAAAACCGCACAAATGTCAAAAAAAAGATCTTAGATAACAGTGTCTTTCTGACACAGCTTCATAACATACGAGCGACGTTGCAGTTTATGTGTAAAAACGCCAAATGCACAGCAAATACATGACATTTTGACAATATTCAGTATGATTCAGTAGCATAATGTATGGAAGCTGCAGCGTAACATGGCCTTGCCATAACATTGGTCTGTTGTGCGGCAGAATCGGTCCTTTAATCATGAATTTATAACCAGAATGATTTCATTTTTCATACGATGAAGCTATAAGTCAAATGTACTGTAATATATTACGTTAGTGAGGAGTTAATATTTATTTTGATTGATTGATAATCGTTTCTTGTAAAATATTGTAATCTATATACCAGCTTTGAGAGAAATATTTTACTAGCTAACATATTATTATAACTAAATTTTGTCCCAACACTCATTTTATTTTCCACTTTATTAAAATTTATTAATTTGTCCTGTTACTTATTTTATTTGTTATTTAACTAACTTATCGATATTTGAAAATAATCAAATTAGTAAGGATTGAGAGTTTGCAACTTATCAAATTATAACGATCAATTTTAAAATTTTGACCCTGCCCATTTTTCAAAATTAGTTATATCAGACTCATTATTTTTAGAATGTTCGATAAAACTATGACCTTTAAAAATATCAAGAAACAACACAAAATCGTTATTTCATTTTCAACTATAATTACCGAAGAAAAGACCAAACCGATCTGCATCAAAAACTCATCAACCCAAATCCAAATCATATCGGCCGAACTTTTAAAATCAGTTCTGAATTTTTTGCTAGCATAAAATAAGAATAATTACGCACTTGCCAGCTAATTGTATAGATATCGACTCGGTCGATATCGCGAAAAATTTTTCGCCCTTTTTGAGGAAACTCAACGCACACAGGAACATAGTTTTTTTCAATTTTGGTCTTAAGCGATTCAGAGAGACATTTAACGCCGAAAAACAATGTTAGCAAGTCAAATTTCCTCTTTCGCAAAGGTAAACATTTAATCGCAATATCAAAGAATAAATTAGTAAAGTGCGAATACATATTTCCTTTTAATTATATACATAAACCAGAACATAATCAGCAAAATATTTGATCAAATAAGAAAAAATCTGAAAAGATCGGTCGAATCGAGAACACAGAAAACATTATAATTTTATTCCGTACGTAAATACACTATAATTTATTTTTTTATGATTGAATGCGTACTTGGTGATTGTGATTGCTGCCTGTGTGAATGTGTTACGACCTAGATGATCTAAGTATTCTCGCTTTTCCTTCCCCGAATAGCCACATGCAAATCCTGTCACGAGATAGGCAAAAAAGAAATCAGCAAACAACACTTGAACCAAAACCAGACGAAACTGGGAATGAAAAATTAATAAAGCATTAGAGGAGACAATCTAAAAAAATTTATTATATGAGAAGTCTGGAAAAAATGACATTTTGTTTCATTTTTTAATGATATTTGTTTATTTATTGATATTATAACCAATCCTCAATAGATTTACTCATCTTTGGTTCATTGTCTACAAGTAACATAGTTTTGTAAATATGCCCATATAGTGCTGACAAAATGACATGCAGAGTAAGGACATACTGAGATGCCGATTTTTAAGAAGGCAATTCGCAAATGAATCTTTGGCCCTCTTTGAGACATCAGCACATGACGAAGGAGCCCAAACTGAGCAAATTGGAACATCTTAATCAACTTTCGCTTGATATAAGTGCAAGTCTCTTCATTTTAACTGTGGAACCTTTTGTTCTGTTTCAGAAGTAGTTAAAACAAAAGTTGAAAGATCATAACCTTGACAGGTTTCAATGTAATTTTTTCTTGGCACCAAATGAACTACCCTGTAGCTTTTGGGAAATAGTATCATAGGTCATTTTATCATCATTTGCCTACTATGTCATTTCGTCCATTGTATAATAAGTTCATTTTGTCCGAAACTGAACAAAAATGAATAATTTTTCAGATGTTTTAAAAAATGCAACTGTATTGTTTTAGCTTTATATACCATTTTGTCCATATTTCCCCTATCATTTATGAAAAAAATGACGATACACATTTGAAACTACGTAATTATTCTTCAAACACGACTCAAATGTTAGAATGTTTTTTAAGTTAAATGTAGAAAGTACTTTAGTCCGGCTTGCTCGAGACCGACCCTCTGTATCGGACTATCGGGCGGTAATTATAAAAACTGTTTGGTTAATAATTAAACTACAAATTTAATAGTAATACAAATAAGCTTATTTTACATATATTTGAAATATATTAGGCTTGTACCGAATATTTGGTTACTTTTTGGTATTCGGCATATTCGGCACCTTTTTCAATATTCGCCCGATACCGAATAGTTAAAATCAAAGGCGCGCCGCCGCCTCAGCTACGGCATTGTTGGTTGGCATTAACATGATATGAGAGCATTAACATGATATGAAGGAATGAATTCGTATTGTATATATATATAATAATTTAAACTTTATCGATTTTTGACATTATAAATGATCACTTAAAGGACTTTTTTTTCAGAATATTCACAAGATACTTTATTGTTACATGTTTTATTATTTAATGAATCATTCAATGATTACACGCATGTCTTGTATGAATTGATGACAACATGACTGACTTTCTTATATTAACATAAGAAAGTCAGTCCTTCATTATATAAAATCTAAGCATACCAAATAAAGAGCCTTTAGTGACTCTTTATCGCAAAATATACAAGCATATTTTTGGTCATTTTTAATTTATTTTGATATGATTAGCATTCCTGAATAAAAAATAATATTGAGTTTATAAAAGAAAATATTAAATGTTTACGAAAGAAACAATTGGAAAAACATTGACATAATGTAAACAATGCTTTTTCATAATTTTACTATTTAGGTATCCTCATCACATGTGGCATTCGAGTATTCGAAATTCGGCCGAATAGTATAAATGGTGCCAAATATTCTAAATAATAAGAGTAGCAGAATAGTGGTTGCAAGTCTAGGCATAAAACTTGAATGAACATATAGCGCGTTAGCAATAACAATTACTGATAGTAACGAGCTTAGGTGCCAAAAACCTGCCGAATATTCGGTATTGGGTCTTTGAAGTATGCCGGAATATACCATCGTTGCAAGCCTAGATATATATATATATATATATATATATATATATATATTTAACAAAAAACCTTTTTAATTTTCTAAAAATAAAAATTTGATGGTTTCTAACCGTTAGATAATTTCTGGTTTTTGGTTGAAATATCTTTTTGAATACCAAGTTTTGAATATTATGTTTTGAAAACATGGTCACTGCACAGTTAGGTGATTAAATCTATTGATATGTGTGTATTGTGCCGTGTATTCAGTAGACTAACTTAAAAAATAAAAGGCCGAATCCTTCGTAGAACGTAAGGGTTACGTATATCGTACATGCTTCGTTTCATGAACGTAGAGACAAACAGAATTTATCATAAATACAACGATTATCGAATAATAGCGAGTTCTTTCAATAATTCCGAACCACACAAAAAACGTTCTAATAGCCCTCGAGCGTTTTATTGCTATAAAAGCATTTTTGAAAGAAACTTTCAAAGAAATGCCGGACTATAGGACATTCCATGCTGTTGGGTGCCGGACTAAAAGACTTCTACTATATAACTATAAAATCATAACCACATTTTGCCTTTTAACCAATAAATTATACTAGCCTTATAGATAAAAAAAACTCTAAAACGTAAATTACGAACTATGGACTATGATATCTTTAATCATGGATCATGACTAGTTTAATAATGAAATTGTTCAATTCTAATTCCTGGAAGTACAATTTTTAAAGTATCGCAAAAAATAAACGAAATTCAACCAATCTTTCATCAATTCTTGAAGGCAACGCTTTGTTTATCAGACCATGATATATCTTTAATAAAAAGTTCATAAATGATATTTACCTCAGCAGGAAAATCAACTATTTCAAATTGTTCAGCTAAATCTGGAAGAGCACCTGCAGCTAACGCAAATACCGCACCTCCAGAAGCTAAAATACTGTACAGTAAAGCCTTATGCTCTCGCAATGATTGCATGAATGGAGGTCCCTGAAAAAAATGAAAAAAAATGTTATGTGAAATATATGAATAATTTCTTATACTTGCAACTCACAATCCATGATAAGGAAATATTTTCTGAAAAACTAAAATTCTTTTTTTTTTTTTTGCAAAATTGCATTTTGTTTTGTTGCTTGAAGCTTTAATAGCATGGCTAAATATTAAAGTTACTAATAACATGGTTATATTAAAAATGTAATTGCTTACCCGGTAATTTATAGCAAATGTGGAAACTTGCAATGCCATTGAAATAATGTATACTGTGGAATTAAGTAGTGAAGGCACAAATGGTTCATCCTCTTCCACTTCGACACTGAGTTTTACTTTAGGTTTTTCTATACTGAAATGAAATGCAGTTGAAAAATTATATCAATAATAATAACTACAGGGATAATTAAAATCATTGTACAAACCTTTCAGGAGTCCTAGCATGTGCTTGTTGAACCAAATAAACTAACAACAGAAATGCACAGCAAATTGGGATAAAACAGTCAAAATAGTATATGCATTAAATATATTAGGCAGTGGGCGTGTCTTGATAAAGTTTTAAGAGGCTGTAAAATAAGGCTATATGTTAACAACACAGTTTATTCATACAAAAGAGTAGTCGAATATTCATCACATTTACATTGTTCACAAGTATGTTTAATAAAATAATACACTGGTATGTTGCTTAGCGTCCTTTCGATTTGCCTTTTTTTT